GAAGATTGACAGAGTCCCCACAAACCCCACACCCAGTTTAACATCTTATATCATGTTAACATCTTACATGAGTATGGTGCATTTATCACAACTAATGGACCAATATTGACAGACTATTATTAACTTAAGTCCATACTTTATTCAAATTTCCTTAATTTTAACCTAATGTCCTTTTGTGTTTCAGGATCTCATCCAGGACATGATATTATTACCATTAGCCATCATGTCTCCTTAGGTTTCTCTTGGCTGTGACAGTTTCTCAGACTTTCCTTGTTTTTGATAACCTTAAAAATTTTAGAGTACTCAAAAATTTTGTAGAATTGCCTCAATGGTCTGATATTTTTCTCATGATTAGACTGGGGCTATGGACTTTGGGGGAGGAAGACCATAAGATGTAAACTATCATTTTCATTTCATCATATCAAGGGACACATTGTCAAGGTGACTCACCACTGTGGTGCTAACCATGATCTCCTGACTGAGTTCGTGCTTGCCAGGTTTCTCCGCTACAGCTACTGTTTCCCACACACCCTTTCCATAATGGATTCTTTGAAAGGAAGTCAGGATGCACAGCCCCCACATACAGAGCAGAAGTTCTGCCCCACCACCTTGAGGGTGGATGGTCTACATAATCCATTTGGAGTTCTTCTGCATGGGAGATTGGCCTATTTTTCCCTATTTATTTATTTATTTATTCAATCGTATGTTTCTATCAGTATGAATGCATGGACAACTATTTTGTACTTTAGATTATAATCCAATGCTATTGATTTGTTTTATTGCTTAAGTTGTTCAACTTTGGCCACTGGAAGCTCTCTCAGTTAGCACCTGTGTCCTGTGCCAGACCTGCATCACTGTGGTTTTCTGGAACACTTAGTTACTCTCTGGCACCGCAAGATGCTCCAGGCTCAATTTGTTATTTCCTGACAGTCACAGAATAAGCCACTTTCCCAAGGATCCTTGATTTCACCCACTGCAGAATGGTATTAGAAACTAAGACTAGAGTTCTCAAAGTACTTGTTGCTACTGGGGTGCCATTTAAATTTTAATAAAGTCTATTATTTATTTTTTCTTTCATGGATGATGGTTTTCATGTTATATCTAAAAACACCAAATTCAGTGTCATGGAGATTTTCTCCTATGTTTTCTTTTAGACGTTGTATAGTTTTGTAATTTTCATTTAGGTCTATGATTCATTTGAAGTTAATTTTTTCCTGTAAGGAATAAGATGTATGTTTAAAATAATTTTTCCCCATAATTTTTCCAATTGTTCCAGCACCACTTGTTGAAAAGTGTGCCCTTTTCTCATTGAATTGCCTTTGTGCTTTTGTCGAAATCAGCTGGCTATATTTGTGTGGTTCTTACTGTTTCTTTGATCTATTTGTCTATTCTTTTGCAAGAACACGCTGTCTTGATTACTGGCTTTAGAGTAAGTGTGAGAGTTACTCAGACTTACTATAAAGTAAGGAGTGACAGTCCACTGACTTACTATAAGTAAGGAGTGACAGTCCTCTGACTTACTATAAAGTAAGGAGTGACAGTCCTCTGACTTACTATAGAGTAAGGAGTGACAGTCCTCTGACTTACTATAAAGTAACTGTGTCGGGCCTGCAGTGTGTGTTCAGCAATTTTACTTAATACTTGACCAGGTAAAATAGCAGACTCCTGGATAGCTCAGCACAGCCTTAGAATTCTGTACTTTAAGGGCAATTTGATTTTGCCATGGCTTCTCTTACAATTGTCTCTATGTTAAAGGCTGGAGAAAGGACAGAGTAAAAAGGTATTCTCCCTCAATGCTCCAATTATACATAAGGGTTAGTGTTTCTATTTCCTGCTCCCCTGCCTATATCATAGATAAGAAAAGTGAAGCTCAGAGAGGTTGAGTTAGTTGCTCAAGGTCACCCAGCCACTGAATCTGCCTCGTCCCAAGGTCCGTGCTTGCTTGGTTATTACAAAGAGCCTGAGAGGCTGACTGTTTGGAAGCAGAAGCAGCAGGATAAGCCTAGCTCTGAGGGAGGTATGGGCAGGAAGGCCGGGTCAGTTTAGGCCAAGAGCTATGGGAGGAGCCGGGAACTGAGGGACTCAGGACTCTGTAGATTACTACTAATCAAATAATCAATACTCTGTTGAAATGAATAGGAGAAACCCAAGGACAGGTGCATTTCTATTTTGCTTACTGCTCCCCGACCGTCTAACAGCTTTGCTTGGGTTCAGTCACTGTCTCCAGCTGAAGTCAGTTTCCTTGATCTTACTGATGTTGATCTTGCAGAGTTGTAAGTTACCCTTATCACTAGGAAGAGGGGCTGCAGCCAGGAGAGCTCATTATGGTAGGCAGTGGCTCATCTGAATCCAGCACATATCCTGTTTTGAATTCCACATAGACTCAATTATGAGAGGCATTCAAGGGAGCCTTATTTGGGGGTGGTCTTATTCTTTTTCCCCATGCTGGGCATAGGCAGAATCATCTCTCAGTGTGAGCATCCTGCAGGCCACTGGGCAGGTTTACAGCTTTTCCCACACTTCACAGAGCACTGCTGCTTACAGTATAGTTTCTTTTCTAATATTCACAACAAGACTGGAATTTAGGCATGAATTAGGCATGAATGACAATGTTACCACATCTTAGGATGAGCAAAGGAAGGTCCCAGGAATGGAAGCTTTCTCCGGAGCTCACAGCTAGGGAGGTGTGAAGCCAGGGCTGGAGTGTTGTCGTTGGAAATAAGTGTGATGCCTGCCTCCCTGCACGGCCTCACCCCGGCTGCCACCTTTCATCCACTCACATTTCCTGTCCTCTGAGCTCCACTGCTCATGGCAGGCTTCCTCCACGGCACCTTCCCACCTGTGTGACCCACCTGGACCGTTCCCTGCCGTGCTGTGCCGCTCACACAAATACTTGCTGCCTCCATGTCTTGGTGCTGGGACACCCACTACGTTGACTTAGTCTCTATTGTTTGCACGTGTTGTTTTCCCACCAAGCCAGGCTCTGTGTCTTACCCATGTGGCTAGCGCGGTGCTTGGCACACACATATTTTGAATTGAACACTTGCTTTAAAACCGTCTTCCAAATTTTTGTGCCCTGGCAGCTCATAGTCAGAGAACAGAGAAGTTAAGACTTTAAGACTCCACCACACTTTAAGGCCCACTAGGTGGGGTGTGCACCAGCACTGGCCTGTCTGCTCACACGTCTCTCTCCCTGGGCCTGCCCACATCCCTCCTCACTTCTCACACTCAGCACAGTGTCCTTGCCCAAGTGCAGATTCTCCTCCACTGCCCCTGCCCCCCATCCCAAAGCAGCCCAGGATTACTGCCTGTCTATGTGCCTGTAGCTCTTCGTTCTTATTTCTACGATGGCATTATTCACATGAAAATCCTGCAGATGGATCTGACTTCCTTAGGATAAGACCTGCCCTGACCATGTCCGTAAACCTGGCACCTGCAGACAACCTGGCCTGCAGCAAATATATTTGTACAATGAAGGCAAGGAATGTGGCTTACACTGACAAGAAAGCTCTCACTGAAATTTACTAGACACTAAGGATTCTGTGGGAAACACACCTGGAATCATTACCAAGGTAAAGAATAGGATGGGTTTTTGTTTTGTTTTGTTTTAGCAGATGTCTTAAGTTGCTCTAAGGCAGTGAGAGGGCAATTTGCTGCTGGAGCAAAAACTTCCTCTGCCAGAGATTCAGGATCCACTGAGGTCAAGACGGCTTTGCAGCCATCTACCCCATGGCCCATGTTCATGCCCTCCTCCTTCCCTGCCGTGGCCTAAGCAGGATCCCAAAGGCAGGGTGAGGGCTCCCTTCTCTCTGCTCCTGCCTGGGAGCTAGTGTGAACTGTTGTCTCAGCATGCTGTGTGCTCAGCCTTGGGGCTCCAGGAGGCTCCACTCTGACTTAGGCTTGCAACAGTGCCCAGCACATGAGGGTTTAGTACAGTTTGATCCAGGTGTGAACGTGTGAGCAGAGCCTGTGAGCACGGCCTCATTCCCACTCTAGGGATGGGGTGTGGAGGGGATATGAGGGACGTTCCTCCTTCCAGTCTGCTCAAGGCTGTCTGCTCAGTACCCCTTTGAACCCCTTTCCCATTCCTATCCCTTCTGGGCTTTTTGCATGGTTGTGTATATGTGTGTTTACAAGTGTGTGCACATGTATGTGTATGAGTGTGTGTGTATGAGAGAGAGTGTGTATGTAAGTGAAGAATGGAGATGGCTATCTGAAAGCAGCATAGGCAAACTGAAATATGAAAAAAAAAAAAACTGTTTTATTGAAAGCCTGGGGCCTCCTTTCTAGGTAACATGTGTCCCCCTGACAGAGCCAGGCAAGAAAAGGTGTGAGCCCCTCATGATGGCAGTGACTGCATGCTTTTCAGGAGTAAGTGATAATCAGCATGCTTTTAGTTCTTATTTACCCTGCACCCCATGTTGCTACCTAGGAAGCTGAAGGACGACTGAGCTAGTGATTGAGAAAGGAACAGAACGTGTGCGCGCATCTCCCAGAAATGTAACATCACACGTGTTGATGGCGGAGTTGCTTAGAAACCAATGCCCGAGGTGCAGGAAGCCACCCACCGCATGCCCACGTCTTTGTGGCACTAAACCCTCCGCACTCTTACACCTAGAAAATCTAATCAGATGAAGGGGTAAGCTCCAGAAGTAATAATAGAAGCATGATTTGTTTCACCCCTAATTCCATTAAGAAAAACTGGCTGTACTCCTTGAATAGAATACTCTTCAATGACAATTTGAAGAGTACTAGAGAAGCTAATAAATTAATTAATAGGAAAGATTGTTTTAGCTAGACAAAAAGGTAGTAGACTTCATTGTAATAGCTTAATTAGAAAAATAATAAACTTCCTTAGGAAGGATGAAAGCCCATAATTAAAAAGATGAGCTAATAGGAGGAATTCCGAATATTACCTCTTCTCAGATTTGTTCCTAGCTGCTCTATTCATGGTCCAAAAGCACTTAACAAGCTGAGGAATTAGTGGAAAATGTACTTACCTTCAGCTCTGAAGCAGGAACTTTCTAGCTAAAATGACCGAGAAGGAATGAGCTCTGAGAGAAAAGCAAGCAAATGGACCTTGGGCCAGGAAGGGCCGGAACACATGCATCACCGGGAGAGACAGCTGGATTGTTATCATTACCTTGAGTAAATGTCATCCGACATGAACTGGATGTTTCTGGTAATGTGAAGTTAGAGAAATGGAAAGACACAGGCAGATGAAGACATAATTTCCATGAGCTCAGCTAGTCAAGGTTGCTTGCAGTGTTTACGGCAATGTTTACAGCAGGTTATGGAATTGTAATCTTGCTCTTTTTAAATGCCACTTAAGAGCTGTATTTAGTTCTAAAAATAACTAAGGAATTAAACAAATCGGGTTTTTGAAAAAATGGTTTTGGAAGAGTTTGTTTTAAAACTCAGCAAACTTCTCAAGACATCTTGCAAACATTAGTCTCATTGAGAAGAAGGGAATAGCCCCATTGTCCATATTTCACAAGACTAAACAATGGGACTGAGGGAATTGTGTGCTCAGGTGCATATGTGACGCATGGGCCCCGACGAGAAAAACCCTGTGTTCTGCCAATGCTTCTCCGTCCAAAAACTTCATAGAAACTGCCATAGATAACAGTCATCATTCAAAGCAAAATTCTTCCATTTTAGGGTGCAATACTGAGTGTTTTCTGCTGGCCGAGTCCTGCAGGAAAGGGCTGCTGCTGGTGTCAGCCACACCCACAGGAATGTTGAAGTGTGGAGTTGGCCCAAGTTTTGGGATGATCCTGGGTTTTGGGGCTGGGGCTAAACCAGCGGCTGTTTCTGAAAGGTGAGCTTCAGCCCCAAGCTAAAATGTGTTCACATGTGGGTGGTCTGGAAAGGACTGAGGAGAGAGGCCTGAGTTGAATTTGCCAGGCGGCTAAACACCTGTTTAGTTTTATAAAGTGGCTTTCCCTGGCCTGCCACTGAGGCAAAGTGTGTTGTTCTCAGGAACTCAGGGACCCAGGGTCAGGCCAGGCTTTGACTATTTCTGAGTAGGTGTGTGCCCTGCAACATGCCCTGCAGCTCAGACCAGTGCGTTCCACATGCCTCTTTCCCCTTCCCAGAGTTATGTCATTTACGTAACACAGAAAAGCAAGGCATTGCCTCCAGAAAGCTACTGCATTATCTGGAAAAGTAGAGACAACTTGCCCTTAGCCCTTGGACTTACAGAAGCACAGGCCCTTTGTGGGAGATCTGTGGATCTCATTAGTTGGTTGGGAAAACTGGTGGCCAGCCCTGGAGAGCGGGACATCAGGTAAGCTGCAGATGGTGGGAACACTGTCTGGAGAAGGCCAGCCTCAGCCAGTCCTCTGTGTGGGACCTGGGCCACTCTCATTGGGAGGGACAGAGAGAGACTTCCAGCAGGTGGAAGGTTGCCTAGGGGTTTGGCTAAGCCCTGCAAAGAGAGTATCTATTGCTATTTTATTCTTCCATTTTGTAGGCTCATCTCTCTCCAATTTTTAGAGAAAAGAGGGCAAAAATCTCTTGGGAGAAGCAGAGTAGAAATGACAAAGGATTTAGAGCCAGAAGACTTGGGGTCAGCTTTCTAATGCCAGGCCTCTAGGACTCCATTGCCTTGTGTAAAGTGGGCTGTTGTGAAGATTGAGATCAGGTTTGTAAGAGTGCTCAGGGAAATGTAAAATCACACACCAATACCTGTGGTTTTATTATAACCTGGTCCAAACACTCTTGAAATAGTAGTCTTTTAAAATAAATATCTTTGCTATAGGGAAACCCATTCAGCTGGTGAACATTGAAAAGGAAACTTGTAAGCAGAGATGCTGGCAGATGAATTCTGATGACCATGTTACAACTGCGCCACCATTCCATCACCAGCCCAGTCTCTCTCTCACCCCAAGAGACAGGATGGAAAAGGGGAATTTTAGGGAGCATTCAAAGGGCTCCTATATGAACCCTTTTTTCTCTTCTCATACAATTGTATACAACTCGGTCACTTTCACAACTACAACTTCCTCCCCAGTGCTGTCCCTTTCGTGGAAAAGCAAAAGAGGCAGAGACAGTATGAGAGGGTGGGGGAGGCTTGGGAGGCAGAGGATATGGGAGGGAATTGGAATGGGGCAACAGAAAGGGACAGGAAGAAGAGACAGGGCCAGGGATCTGTCTTTTGTGTTTGCAGGACTGCACCATTCTGACACAGAAAAAGCTGGGGTTGGAAGGTAACTCACAAATGTCTTTCCTGAAATCTGCAGTTGAAGCAATGGTAATAATCCACACTGGGCTTCCTACATGCCAGCAATGGTGAATGTTCTCTGTGCTGTACATGTATCAACATTTACTCTTCACAGCACATGTGTGAAGTCACCTTACAGACCCTAGTTATAGATGGGGATCTGAAAAGTTCAGTAACTCTGCAGAGGCTATGATAGCACTTAAGATTTCCCTGTAAGAATGATACGGAGTCAAGACTAAGATGATATGACCTGATTCAGGCTTTAAAGGATCCTCTCCACAAAGAATGGGTTATAGGGGCCAGAGGGGAGACGGGACAGAGGTAGAGCTGGGTGCCTGGTGGGAGCTGCTTGAGGAGGCAATGGGAAGTGAGAAGACAGCAAGCATGGACAAGCTTTTATAAAACATTTCTATTTAATTTTAAATTAATATTTGTATATATTTAAGGTGTACATGATATTTTGTGTGTACACTCACAGTGAACAGATGACTACAGCCAATCTACTGAACATACCCATCCGCTCACAGTTGCCTGTCTGTGTGTGCAGTGAGAACACTTAAGATGTGCTCTCTTTGCACATTTCAAGCATGCAACACAGGATTAGCCACAGTCTAATTACCTCCGGCCTCCAGAACTTACTCCTCCTCCGCCGCTGGAACTTCATGCCCTTTGACCAGCATTGCCCCAGGTCCCCACCCCAGGCCCTAGCAGCCACCCTTTTCCTCTCTTTCTAAGGGTTTGACTTTTAAATCATTCTACATAGAAGTGAGATCAAGACATGGTGAGGGCTTTCAGTTTTGATGTGAGGAGATGCAGAGCGGGAGTGCATAAGGAATATTTTGATGTGAGAAGGTGCGGATGGGGAGTGGATAGGGAGTAAATGGGGCCTGCCTTTTAGGAAAAGACCTCCTGAGTAGGTAACTTGTGTGGGGATGGGACTATCCAGCAGAAAACATGGGCTTGGTCAGCAGGTCACAGTGCAGCAGAGATGCACACATGTTCTTGAGTAGGCAGGGGGTGGATCCTGAGGGCTAGAGGAAGGGGTGACCTTGGCCAGAATGGCGAGACAGCAGGAACAGTTGTACGGAGCCCACGGCCCGGTGGTGGGGAGATGAGGGCCTGCCTCTTGACTGCGTATTTTGTCACAGAAGTACAAGGCAATCTTATTTTGGTCTGACATATGAATAATTGGGTAATTGCTCCAATATCTAAGCTACCTGAGTAAAGTAGGAAGTGTATTTGACATACGAGCATGACCAACAGGGCTCACTAAAGCCATGCCACCCAACCTAAAGAGGACCAGCCACAGACACAAAGGTAGCCCCCATCCATAAAACCAAAGGAAGCACATTTCTAGCAGTTTTAAATTTCCCATTTGGTCCCACTTTTCAGTCTTCGAGGAAATATTTTGAAATCCACTTGCAGAACACCTCCACTTGCACAGAAAGCTCCACAATAATAATTGTCACAAAGCTGGTGCTCAGTAAGATTCTCCTTCTGTTCCTGACTTCCTTTGTTTTTGAGACACAGTCTGACTGTGGCACCCAGGCTGGAGTGCAGCAGTGGGATCTTGGCTTGCTGCAGCATCAACCTTCCAGGCTCCAGAAATCCTCACACCTCAGCCTCCCGAGTAGCTGGGACTACATGCATGTGCCACCATGCCCAGCTAATTTTTGTATTTTTTGTAGCAATGGGGTTTTTGCCATGTTGCCAAGGCTGGTCTTGAACTCCTGAACTCAAGTGATCTGCCCGCCTTGGCCTCTCAAAGTGCTGGGATTACAGGTGTGAGTCACGGCCCTTGGCCCCTGTTCCTGAATTCCTGTTAGCCCTCTGTTAATTAGATTTCCAAATGCATTGGACTCTTCATCCCCATACCAATCTCATGCATTGCACAAAGGATAATGAAGACTTATCAATTCATTTTCTCATTTATTCTGCTCTCATTCGATGAGTCTGTACCACGTGGCTGGCACTGTGTGGATGCTGAGGATGCAGATGTATGACATAGCCTCTGACCTAGAAGAGTTCAGTATCTAGCTGGAAAGAAGGACCACATAGGGATAACTGCCACACAAGTGATAAGGGCTAGATCCAAAATATATCTAAACTATTTGGGGAACTCTGATGTTAAAGTACCTATTCCTTCTTTAGGTGAGCATAAGGATGGACGTCTTCCTATGTTGTTTAAGTTGCATTGTGAGGGGTAAATAGGATTTTGCTAAGCAGATATGGTCAGAAGAGGATCACGGGAGATGCAGAAAGCAATCATGAAAGTGCGTGTGAGAGGGTCTAGGAGGAGTGGAGAGTGAGTGGGGAAGGGTGACGGGAAGGAAGTGCCTGTCATGGTGGTTCACAATATGCACTGTGGAGCCAGACTGCCCACATATAGATCTTGGATCTGCAGCTGATTTTGAACCAGTTATCTCACCTTTCCAGGCCTTTGTTTTTTAGTTTCCTTCTCTTTAAAATAATATTAATATTTCCTAGTTGTGGCAGAGACGCTCTGCTCACCAAACATCACATGTGCTCTCCCAGATTTCTCAGTTTTTCTTATAGTTGGGTTAGGAATGACCATGTGACTAGTTCTGGTCTTAAAGCACTGTGTGGGGAGGGTCAACTCCAAGCTGAGCTGGTGAAGTGCCCATGTGACTAACCTGTCACTTTTGTTTTTCCTTGTGCAGGCACCTTGGAGGCCATGTGTTTCATGTGATAAAACTATGAGAGCCTCTCTCAGCCTGGGTCCCTGAAAGAATGTGGAGCAGAGCCCTCTCGGATCCACACTGCCCACATCATGAAAAATAAACCTTTGTGTGGTAAGCTATTGATAC